TGCGGTCATCCTCTTTTACCGCGTCAACTTTTAACACAAGATTGCCATGACACCCACAGAAGGCGCGTCAAGAGCTGTTGATAATTGTGACTCATACGGGTACTGCATAATTCATTGATTTTTTAGCGAGATTATTCCCCGTGGAATTTCATAAATTCATTATTTTTCTTTATCGGCACTTGATTGTGTGCACTGACGTTGAAAATATTGAAGAAAAATTGCATAATGGCTCATTGTCATTGAGCAATGAGCACGGGGAAATTATGGACAGCAGATGGCTTCAGTCGCTGAGTGATAATTAAATGTCTTTGATAATTATTTTGAAAAAATGATGATATCTTTTTTGGAGATGATTCCCCAGTTGTAAAGTGTTAGAATTTTCTATCAAGCGAAAGTTTCACTGGAATTTGAAGGCATTTTGTCATTGAAAATTCACAATTTGATGGAAATATTTACGGGAACTGTAAACTTTAGTTCAATTATTGTATGAAAATTAAGAAATAGTGAGAGAAATCAATTCTCAATTAATTTCATAGTCAAATAAGTTGGAATTCCATGAAATTTTTAGTGAAATTTAAAATTTCAGGGGTTTCTCCTCTTAAATCGGATAAAAATTGCACAATCCAGGTAATTATCATTGAGCAATGAGCACAGGAAAATGATGGACAGCGAGATGAATTCAGTAGCCGAGTGATAATTACACGTTTTCGATAATTATTTGTCTGTCTCGAAAACTACCGGCTTTCGGAGAAAATGACAATATACTGTTTATCCATAATTTTCCAGCTGACAACGTTAAAATTCCAGTGAAGTTTCTGCAAATTTCAAGGAATTTCGCAATTGAAAATTCCCAATTGAATGTGAAAGTCAATGAAAACAGTAAAAATGACTACAAATGATGAAAATTTAGATACATATATGCTTTAGTTGTCAGCCAATTGAAAATTTCGAGTGATTTGGTGCTGAATATTCATGTTTTAATTGAACTCTCAAGCAATTTGGAAATTCTCGTTCTCCTGCTGTGAAATTTGCAATTCAATAGAATTTCCACTGAACTGTGAAACTCCATATTTTTATAATTGTTCTAACAATATCTTTTTTGCAACTAATTCCCCAGCTAACGACATCCTGAAATCAACAACAATATCATCAATTCGTCATGTTTTCCATAGAAATTCCTTGGAATTTTATCTCAATGAGGAAATAAATCGGCAAAAAAAAGGCCATTCGATACTCGGAGCAGCAATGAATAACGAATTGTTCCCCAGTCCGTGAAGAATTCCTCCACAACACCACAATGTTTTTGTGTCACTCCTCAGCTCACCACATAATAAAACTGAATTAATAACTATACCTCTCCCGCAATCCCAGCCAACTAAACTCAACTTGTGCCAATCGTGGCCAGTTGATACCTCATTTACCCGCAATTACGTTGTCACGGCTATCAGACCCTATTGCGTCCTGCCGTCTTTTTCACCGTGCAAAAACCTTTTCATCATTTTTATAAAATGCTTTTTCAATTCTTCAGTATTCACCGAGATGCTTTGAAGTTGCGGAAACATCTGACCTTTCGCCTCTTCAACTTTAAACCGAGGTCTTCTCCCCACGGACCATGTTTTTTTCATCCTTCTTATTTCTCCCCCGGTCTCTCTCCTGTTTCTATCGTTTCTTTTTTTTTCTCTCTCTCTCTCTCTCTCCATTTCTTCAAACCAGCGGCTTTGAAGCACCTAACCCGCTGACGCGCTTTCACAGTATGCAACCGTCTGACCTACGTGTATGTTGGCTCTCTGTGTGCCAATTTTAACCTTCGACAGATGCATTAGTGATTTACGATCGTGAGTACTGTATACATCGCCATGCCAGAGGCTTTCCGGGCTTTCGTAAACACCGACTGGGAATTCTTCTCTCCTCCTCCACCCCCTCCCTCCACCCCGCCCCTCTGGAATCCACTACTCTCTCTTTTTATTATTTATTGTCACTCTCATGATTCAATTGATCGCTCCGGTGATTTTTCAACGGTCACGTCGGCTAATCACTCCGATCATCAACGCTTTTCCGTGGCTGTTTTTACGGATGTCATCCGTCTAAACTGGTTTCAATTTTCAACAAGTGCAGGAGCACCCGTTGACAATTATTCATTTTTTAATGAAAAGGTTGGCTTGAATGATTTATTCACTCCCCCTCAGCCCCAAATGCTCTACTCTATTGTTATTACTTATTATCGCAAGTGCAGGACCACCCGTTAATAATTATTCATTTTGCAAACGAAAATGTTATCTTGAATGATTTAATTGAAACTATTGCAGAATAGAAGAGTTCATTTATTCTCATTGAGCAATGAGCACAGGAAAATTATGGACTGCAAAATGATTCAGTAGCTGAGTGGTAATTAAATGTCTTCGATAGTTACATAGAGAACCTGATGATATTTCACTTTTCGTAAATGTTTATCAAGCGACAATTGCGATGAAATTTCAAGAGATTTCGTTATTTCAAATTCACATTCTCTTTAATTATTCAAAAAATTTACAATTTAATGTGAAAATCGATGGAAAATCTCTCTCTCCCCCAAATGCTCGCATCTCTTTCCATTATTTATTCACTCATGACTCGACTGATCGTTCCGGTGATTTTTCAATGGTGTCACGTCGGCTAATCACTCCGATCATCAACGCTTTTCCACATTTCTTTTCGAATGTCATCCATCTAAACTGGATTCAATTTTCAACGACTAGTGCAGGAGCACCCGTTAACAACGATTCACTCTTAAACGAAAAAGTAATCATGAATGATTTAATGGATGATTGATAGGGGAGTGGCCCTATATTGTTGGGGAACCTAATGGTAATGCGGGGAGAGCCTAAATCACCTGGAAATAACTGCCTTGGGGGAAGTGGTTGGAGGGAAAATTTTTGCTTGAGAGAATTACGCACTGGGGAGTTTTTTTTTCTGGTGTCAGTGGGTCTTGGGGGATGTCGAGGCTTCTGTTGATTTTTGGAGCTATTGAGCTCTTGGGATATTGTGGGATTAATTAACAAGTGCAGAGGGGGACGGATCTCGTTAGAGTACCTTTCGATTTCAGCGAATATTCTATCTTTCACGGTTTTTTCTTGTTCACTAATTTTTTCTTAGTCGATAAGAAAAAAATGTCATTCAATGCAATTTCATTTATTTTTTATTTTTTTATTTATCAATTTCACATTCTGTCACGGATTAGGAGAAAACTGTTCTGTTTGCGAAAATGAAGATTTATCACGTTTCGTGTAAAGCGTAATTGTTCACGAATTTGATAAGACTGAAGCATTCATTGTTTTGAAAAACCTCTCGGAACTTAATGCGATGGATTAAAAACTATAAAGAGAAATGAACGCGATAAGTTTATTTTTGAAGTTTAACAGAAATTCCCGGTTTTAGGACTTTTTCTTATTAAAAATCGTTCTCGGAGCAGACTTTAACGTTGGAGTTACATCCTGTTGGTCTTGAAATGTCTGCTACACAGAAGATCAGAAGAGAATTTGTTTTTTTTTGAAAAATAAAGATTCGTCGTTTCGTGTAAAGAAGAGCATAATTCTTCAAGAATCCGATAAAACTGAAGCTTTCTGTTGACTTGAAAGTCTATTGACCTCTTGGAATTTTTTGCAAAATTTTCTACTTGCGAAAATTAAGATTCACGAGGTTCCCTGTAAAAAGAAGCATAACTGCTCACGAATTTGATGCAATTGCAGGTTGTCAAGGATTCCGTTAGAGAAAACACGAGAAATCAACATCAAAAATCCATTTTGCCCCAGCCATTTCTAAAATATTCCAAATACAAAATTCATCAATCGAAAACTCTCACCAATTTCGAAAAATTGGGGCGAAACAGGAAGTTTTCTCGAGCATTTCTACCTCCACTGATAGAATGATTCATTCATTCCAAAGGAGAATCGTAAATTATTAACGAATAATAGAGTTGAACATGGCCAAATGGATATTCGTTAATAATTAACAAATGTCTCACTTGAACGTGAAAGTCGAATTAGCCAAGTCTCCCTCAAATATGCATTTGTTAACTATTAACGAATGCACATTTGGTGAGACCGACTAGACCCTAGCCTCCAACCACTCGCTAAATCCACTCGTTAACTAATCCTTTCTATCAGCATAAATCCCAACTAAAATCCACAACTTCAAAAATCACCACTCAACTTTCCCCCCCAAGTTTCTAAAAAATTTCTACCAGAACAATAAAAAAAAAACCAGCATTTCCAATTTAATAGCCAATATTTTAAATTCCAGCCTTTCATCTCAATGTGACAAGCGTAGGATTACCCACAAATAGAACTCGTTGTGGATAAAATAAAAAATCTTAAAACTGGACACATTTAAAATGGAAATCGATTGAATATCGTAAACCGAAGAAAGTCAATTTCATCTTTGGTATTTGCATCCGGTCTTGGCTACGCGTGTTTGAGATGAGGCCAGTGAATGTGTGTTAGTGCTCACTTGTACAGTGTAAAGAGTGGGCAATATGGGTGAGGGTATAACGTGATTAAACGATGGGAGGAGAGACCCAAGACTGGACGATAAGGGGGGGGGGAGGAGAGGAGAGGAGAGGAAAACCGTCGCCTTCAGTAGCACCACAGCATGCTGGGGCCATCATTGTAGATCTCTTCTGGTCTGCGTTTCTGTTCTACTGAGAAATCGTCTGATGGCCTTCCCCCCGCTGAATGCATTCAGAATAAAGACGAAATGCTGAATCGAACGGGTACAAGAGAGACGAAGTGGCCCGAAGAAACGAAAAGTAGGGGTTGCCGGAGAGAGGGGAGTGAGACGAGACAGAAGGGATTCGTCGTCTCCAACTTGGTCTTTCGTACCTCATCCACTCATTCCTCCTCTCTCATACTTCTGCCCTCGCCGCCCTCTCCTCCCCCTCCTCCTCATCGTCTCTCTCAAACACACAACGTGCCTTTTTCCCTCTCTCGATACCCGAGTCTCACAGCAACAACTGCCGGTAGAGAGACGCCTCACGGGCACACACAATCCAGAGGAGATGTAAACTTGTCCGAAGTTGCGCCTGTGCGCCGCGTGTTCCGTCTGAACTCCGGGAGAGAGAGATCACCGGAGGAGAGAAGAGAAAAAAAAATTTTTTTTTTCTTTTTCTACTTCTTCTTCAAGAATAGAAACAAAAAGAGATAACACTGTACAGAACAGAACAATTCTTATTATCATCGTTGAACTGTAGTGCAAGTGAATGGTGATGTAGTTTCAGTGTTGGAAAAAGTTTTCAAAAAAAAAAGTAAAGGAGAAGTTGTGGAGTAAAAGGGGGCGGATGAGAGGAATTTATTCGGTTAGACTCGGGATCTTGAGATCGTTGGGGATCGATCTCAGTCGAATGCGCTCGTGTCACGCACATGGATCTGTCTACTGACGGACGTGGGGACAAGACGTCTGGCCAGTGTCCCGGACGTAAGTCTTGATGACACATTTTTGAGGGGAATTCTTCGTTAGGGGGTGGGGCGGGGAGAGGGGGTGGGGGAGGGCGGGAGGGATGATTAATTGTGGAGTGTTGTGGGACTGGGACTTCCGTATGGGAATGTTTCCTTGATCATAGGTGCGATTGCATCGCTTTCGCGGGGAGCGAACGCGTGTGGGCGATTGCAATTGGGTTTTATGTTCTGTTGAAAATTAGGGGGATTTTTAAATTAGATTTTTTTATGCAATCGAGGAGGAACGATGTGCGTGCCGTCCGGCCGGTTTTGCCAGGCTCTCGACTCTCACCTCTCGCTTGGTAACCGACTCGCTGTATTTTGACGCTATAATGCTTGGTGAATATGGTTTCAGGGGGTTTTTCCGGGGTTTGAGTGCGGAAAACGAAACGGAGGGGAACGACAGAGTGCGGAGATGATGGGGGTAATTGGGTTTCAGGGGTCCATTGTTTGAGAATTTTTGGGCGATTTTTTCGGGTACTTTTTTGGAATTTGTATTGTGTTATTCTGCGGAAATTACAGGGAAAATCGATGAACACTGCTAATTTCAGGGCTATTATTACAGGAAAATTCATAGAACTTGGGAAAGTTTGGCGGTAGTTGGGACTGAATGTTCGTGATTCGATTGAAAATTCGGGTCATTTGATCAATAATTTGGCATTTCATTGAATTTTCGGTGAAATCAGAAATTTCATTTTTTGTTTCGTTCAATGGAATTTACTAAATTGCATTGGATTTAATTTAATTCACTGAATTAAAATAAATCAAATTAAGGTAGACGATACCATTTCTGATTAAAGATAAATAAAAATAAGAAAGATTAATCGATTCGCCATGAAACATTTTTCAACGTAAAGTACCGATATTTATTTACAATCAACTATCAAAATTTCACTTTCAAATATTAAATAATTGAGGGAACCCCAGGTACCTACACGGCTATAGCTCATGTCACAACAAAACATTGAAATTGGCAATTTCGTGCACTCATGAGGTTTCAGCATTTTTTTTTTTTGCGAATTTTGGGGATATCATCCCCATGATTCCGACTGAGGATCAGCGTAGGAATCCCATTCTTTCCGCGGTTGATAATAAATCCGTCGATATAAATTTGAAAAAACTGACAGAAGCTCGAAAAATGCGATCAACTGAGCAGGCACTTCTCGTCATAAATCATCGTTTACCTCAAATTGAATGTCATTTTCCTGAAAATTAGGATACGGTTCAAACTTTTAGGCATTTAATCCTTGAAAATTCACAATTTACTAGAAAAATGAATGCAAATTTTAAATTAATTCAAGTTCTAAACTAATTTAAATTCTGGAATTGATTATGAAACGAAATTAATTCAATGAAAATAAATGGAATTAATTACGAAAATAAATTAAATTCAGCGGCATTTTGGTATTAAATATTTGTTTTGCAAAAATGTGGAATTTCCTTGAATTTTCGGTGAAACGTGAAATTTCATAATTTTTTTCTCCCCAGATCGAATTCAATGTGCCTTCCCTGAGAAAAAACATCAAACGGTCTTTGAAATTTCAAAAAATTTCCACCAGTGTAGTCAACTGCCCATGAAATTTCAATTTTCTCAACCAGTATTGTTAAATATATTCCTGAGTTGGTTCTAAAAAAACCTTGTGGGAGATGTCAGCAACAAAAAACGCCGCTAAAGAGTTGTTGTTTCTCATAATTTATGAGCTTCTCACAGATTTCGAGATTTTATTACCTCAAAATCACGGTAATTGACATTGGCATTTCGATTGCCTTGTATCCGGCAGGGAGAATAAAAACAACTGCGTCACTTCAAATGGTTTTCGGTGATTCATAAATTCGATAAACTTGTCCTTGTATTTACCATGAATTAATCAACCGTGATTTATCCTCGGCTTTCCAGATATTTTCTTATCAACCTTTATAGATAAAGTTGTAGCTTAAATTTCCGGTTTACTTACTCTAAATTTATGGATGTGAAATGGAAACATTCACTGCACGCAGAAATGGAAATTCTGGTTTTACAACCGCATGCGATCGAAGGTTGGGTAAAGAAGACCTGTTCTGCCCCGGTTGGATCCCTCGTATTATAAATGATTCGCCTCGTAATTTAATAGACTGATTATGGGTTTAAAATGCCTCAGCGGGAAAATGAAGGTTTCTCCTTTGATGTGAGCTGCATTTAATCCCGGAATGATTGAATATTCAGTGAAATATGACACTTATCCTGCGGCCCATCCCTTAAACCCAAAAAAATCCCCCTCTTCGAAGGGATTAATTCAAGATTCCGGATCTCTCGTGGAAAAACACTTCATCTGAGTTATGAAAACGGTTCTTAAAATACAAAATAAGCTGACGCAATACCAGAGCACATGCTGAAGAATTTGAATTTTTTCTTCAACATTTTTAACGAGTGGGATTTTTTTTATTTCACGACATCTCCAAGTCGAAAAATCATTTTTTCCATTCATTTTCTCATTCAAAATTACAAATGTAAAGACTTGAGGTAATAATAAATAAATGAATTAATTAATTAATTAATTCCTAGAACACATTAATTAACCAAAATAAATATTTTACCAAAAACTCCGGAGTCAGACCGCGTCATTCCTCCCCTCAAAAAAACCCTTGATTAAACTCGCTCTTTTTCGCCACGTTCATTAGCAAATTTCATTCCCATTACGAATCCTCAAAAAAAAAACAACAATTTAATCAACTCAATTTGTACATTTCCCCCCTAATTACTAACAAAATTAAGGTGCAACGATGCTACAGTATCACTCCAGCCACTTCCCACTGTTGTACTTTCTCAACTTATGAATATTTTCAGCCGTACATATCTCCCGGCAATGTTGCTGTTGCAAATCCTTCATCACTTTTAACCAAAGACATTAAAATTGCCTTTGGGTAGAAGACGCAACTTGATTAGCTGGTGTGCGCGAAAAAGCTGGGCAATGTTGCCGCAACTGGAGCAATTAAGTGGCAATCCATTTGAAAAACGGGGGAACGGGGGCGCGGGAGGGAGGGGGGGG